CCCCACCCACGTGTGACCCCGCAAATTAAAATTCAGCTTCCCCGTACCCGCGGGTAACGCGTACAACCCCGTGAAAGTTTTTTACGGGAAAGTTTTTTTTTTGCGGGTAAGTTAATATCTCGGGAACCATGAAGTCTAGGAGGCTGAAATTTTAGGGTAATGACCCTCTGCCCACGCTCAATCTTGCCCATTCAAATATAGTGTTCTCGCGCTCTCTGGTACCACCTACGGGCTAGTGAAAGTTTTGGCGGGTAAACTATTAACTCGGGAATCACAGAAAGATGTTCTTCCTTCAAGGTTTCGAATTCAGCTTTCATGCGTTGGTGCATGAAATTTTTAACTGTTTTCCAATGTTTGAACTATTTTGGCATAAACTAAAGTACAAAGCAGTGAAAATCAGTAAAAGGCAATCGTTCGATGGGCTGAATTGCACAAAACGCATGATCGCACCGGCTAGTCTGGTGCGCGTTACCATTTATTTCATTCGCGAGTTATGAATTTTCCCGCCATAGTTTTCACGTGCCCGTACGTGAGCCCTATTTATTATGTACTTTCCTCTGTGTTCCAAGTGCTTATTATATACTTTCCCACACAGGTCTTTGAAAGTGAACCATTTACTTGGAATATTCGGGCAGTTGTAATTCAGAGCCTGGTTCCCCAGCTTTGTCCGGTGCTTCATATTTGCAAAATGTTAACTGAGCTTTTCTTCTGAATGAGCCACTTGGACGGGGGGAGGGGGAGGGGGAGCAATCCGTCCCGATAAGTGCTTAGTTTATTTTAAGTATAACGATCTCATTTCGAGTGTTGTCACTTGCAGATTGCTATAAGATGCTTTTTTCTAAAAAGTCAATAATAGCGGGAAGGAAAGGGAGTGGAGTTTGAGTAGTGAGTGGGAGCAAGCACTTTCATTTCCACTAAAGACCACCAACAAAGCTTTTTAAGTAGAAACTTTCTTGTGTTGCCATATTTGACATTTCTGTAGGCGAAGCAAGCAACAGAACCAATGGAAGTTGATGATGAGAAGAGCAAATCGCC